GCAATCAGTTGTACTGCAAGTCAGTAGAAACATTTCTGAAAACCAGTCACTTGACTTTAGGGCATTGCAGTTTCCTAATAAACAAGGAAACTTACCTAATCTTTGGTATTTGTGTGTACAGTCCTCACACTCTGACCTACCTTTGCAAAAGAACCCTTGGTCTCTATATTCACAGCAATCAATGAGCAGTACCTCTAAGGGGACAGCAGGAATTTAGAGGTTGCCTGTGGGTGTTCCGAGACTGCCCGTGGGAAGGTGCTTGATTCTCATGTGGGTGTATTCAGGAAGATGTTTCTTAAAAAGTAATTGGAAGGAGAAAGGGATCTGTTACTCGTTAAGAGGGTGTTTGATATCTGCTCATCTGTGACTTGGGTGCAATTTCCTCTTATCTACAGGATTAATATTTGAGCTTTCAGGAACAAAAAAACTGTGTACATTAGTTCTGTTGGTCAGCAGTATTAAATATAAAGTCATAGGAAGGAAATGTTTCAACAGGGGATCTGAGAAGAGGCTGATGTTGAAAAACCACTTTCTGGTATGTCTGTGAACATGCCACCCTTGCACAGCACGAGCATGTGAACCATTAATGGCTGCCGTGGTAGAAGTGGCAAATACATTTTGGTGTGCCAAAGCATAAAACTTTCTGCTGATGAACCCTTTGCAATGACCATTTGTTAATGTGCATGGGGAAGGCGTGGGAAAAGGTGACTCTCCCTCCCTGCTTCTGCTCCAGAGGGCAGTTCTTAATGTCTTTTGAGTGACCTCAGGGGTCTGCTCGCACCTCCTTGTAGCACACCCCCCCTAACAAAGGAGTGGATGGACTGTGTGGATCTATTTTAGGCTCGTGAGGATTCTAGGAGAGAGATTGTAAGTCTCATTTTGGATGGGCTCAGATACAGTGCCGTGTCTGTCCCTGTATATCTTTAACATCTTACTAAATTGCTTCTTGGTGATGATCGTGTAATTCATATATAAACACGCTGCCAGCCCCTCTTACTTTACTAGCAGTGTGCTGAGTGAGTTTTTGTGTTCTTTGGTATTCATACAAGTGACCTGTGGTTTACGGTGTAAGCTGTGGGGCTGCTGAATGAAGAGTTGATTTATAGTGCATGTGTCAGCTGACTCAGTCCTGTTACCGAAAGAATACAGCTGGCTACTTTTAGAAAATTCAGCAGCTTAGCATTCTAAGTTTGAGTTATTCTTAACTGATTATCTGTACATGTTGCCTTCAGAGGAATCTTAAGCGTTTTGCTGCATTTATAAAGCATTTTAATAAAGAGCCTTCATTGGTATTACCCTGGGCGTTTTTCCCCTTCAGTGAGCTGGGTGGTTCATATTTTGCATGTAGGAAGATGTGAGGCACAGACGCTGGCTTGCTCAGGAGCTTTTAACAAGGCTGCTGAAGCTGACTGAGCCCAGGATGTCAGGTCTCTCAGCCTGTACTTCAGCCACCAAACTGTTCCTGTTGCATCTGTGCTCTGAGAAGGGAGAGCAAGGGTAGCAGAGATGCATCATTCAGCTGTCCTCGTTCTTGACTTCTGGATAATGATGGGAATGGGTTGGAGGGTGTAGGGGAATCATTAGGCAGAAATAGGTAAAACCTACCGTTACCCTGCTGTGTTGGTTTAGCCCTGTAGTGCTGGAGAGGCTGTAGGTCTCCTGCTCTGCCCTGTGTCCCTTGCTCCTGTTGAAGTGGTAGCGTCTCTCCAGCCCTTGTGGTCTGTCTTGCTGTATTGGATGCTGAGGACCCTGGGTCCGGGGCACTCTGGATGACTTCAGTGAATTCCTTGGGGCCTGCCACTCTCTACCCTTTCATCAACAGGAGCTGCCTTGGGGCTATTCCCCTTTTCTTGAATCTTAGATGTGGAACCTCAGCAGAAGCTTGGCTTGCTTTACACATACAGAAGCTGGCGTTTTTTTTCCTTCATCTCCCAGCTGCGCTGTTTAATATGCTGAGTCTTTCTGCTTTTGTGTCTCAGTTTGTTCTTTCAGACATACTCCATTTCTGTTCTCGCATCTCACAACACTGTCAGTGTCAGGGTTGTGGCCAGGTGGGGGATTTATATATATTTATATGTATCTTCTGTCCCTGGTTTTTCTTTTGGACTTCACTGAAATTCAAGGAAATCTTTCCTTGGGTGAATTTTAGCTGGGGAAGAAGAATAATTACGTCCTGAAAACTACAGGTATCCTTTCCATTAAAAGTAGTATTGTTTTCTGGTCTCTTTTTCCCTGTATTCTGCCATATTCTGCCTGTATTCTGCCTTTGTTCTTTGCATTTAGTAACTTGTTGCACATACTTTTCTTCCATTCTTGCCCCAGTTCTCCACTCTGACTTCTTAAAAATTGTGCTAATAGTTATATATATCTGTTTCTCCAGGTATTGGGTAGTCATGCCGCTATCCAGTTGGTTTTTTTGGGTCAAATTATTTACTCTCTTACTGTTGTCTTCCTCTTTGAATGTTTTCCAGACAGCAGCCCCCTTGAATTTTACACCCATCTCAGTTTCTCACGAGTTCCTCTGACAGGATTAGCTGTGAACACCCGCAGCTTTCTCTCCTTATTTGCTCTGTTGCTTGTTGCTGCTGAACAACGATGATTTTTAAAAGATCTTAATCCTTCTGTGGCTATAAATCACTTGTTAGGTTTCCCAGTTCCAATAATACATGGTTTTCCAGTGTGTTATTGCCCCTTTAGTCTTTCTTGCTAAACTGTGTGTCTTGATACAGAATCCATTTTGGGATGAGTTTCTGAAAATAATCTGAGATTTCTCAAACTAAGATGAGCTGTTTCTTATTAAAAATTCTTATTCTGAAGCAACTGAAAAATGGCATCTCCTGCCTAAGATCCCTGCTAACATGGGCTACAACTCTATGATGAGCTATTAAACTGAACCACTTATGGAATAAAACAAATGTGAGGGTTCCTTAGGTAATTGTACTTCAGCATTAATGATAAGGGTTCAAGACGTTCAAATACAGCATAGAAAATAGGTATTTGAAATCTTCTACAAAAAGGCAGTCTTTTTTTTTGAAAATAGTATTTCTTCCCTGTTTCTGCAGTTCTGTACTGTTTGTAACAAGTACTCCAGTTGCAGCTAAGCCAGCTCTGAGCTCAGTTTCAACATTAACTTCAGAGTTCATTTTATTTACAAATAACTGGTTCTGAAGGGAATTCACTGAACTGATGCATTTAGAGTAAACTTTTGCCTGAATAAAGTTTGACTGAAATCTGATGGGCCAGACTATTTTCTGACTTCTGATCTTCATCTTGGATGCTTTACAGACTCCTGAAATTTTTGTGTTATGAAGTATTTGATGAAGAAAACTGAAAGAGTAGGAAGAAACTTTTTTTCTCCCTGTATACGGTCTAGTTGTCTGGAGCAAAACAGCACCAGCAATACCTGATTTATTTTTGCCCCTCCAAGTTCTCCAATACGTATGTGTAGCATTTGTGCTAAATAAGTGGCTCTGCAGTAGAGCCATAATATATGAAAAAACCCAAGCTAAGACTGTGTCTACTCTTCATAAGTACAGGAAAGTGAAGGAGTTTTGATTGGCCCAGTGCAGTAGCTTTTCAAAGTTTAGAAGAAAATGGAGCTTTTGACAGAATACGGGAGATTTGGTTTATATGTCAGTGAAGGCTGTGATTCACAAGGAAGAAAGTACAAGTAGTTTTCATGACCTTACACCTCGGAGCCAGTGGTGGTGTGCTTTGGAAAGTAGACTCTGCAGTATAAAGGCTGGGAATGAATTTCAGTCAAAAGCATCTGTTGACCTGCAGTGTCTTAGAGTGCTGTAGGGCACATCTATGGACACCTCACTGGCAGAAGCTCTTACAGCTTTTATAAATAAAAAATAACATTAAAAATAAGAAAAAAACCCAAGTGAAATGGCTATGAAGTTACGTGGTAGCAGCACCTCATATGTTAACAATACTTCACGCACTGTGCCTGGTTCTCCACTCCTACTATTGTAGAAATGCAATTTCTTCTATGTGAAGATCCTTTTCAGAAATGCGTTCATTCATTTTTTCTAAGTTCTTCATATTTGCTGTCATCACTTTCTTCATATTCTAGCATCCCACTTCAGTGGTTTTGATTAGCAGTTTCTTTATCTCTGCTGTCTTCTTGGAGGTGGGAATCTGACGTGTAACAAAACAGTCAAAACGCCCCAGTTGTGCAGAGTCTTGTAGTATTCTCCAGAGTGCTAATGTATTCTGAAGCCTGTGTCCCTGTTCCCCAAAACTGCTCGAGTAACTAATTGCCCCTGGAAAGCCCGGGTGATTTCGCTGTGCTCGGAACAGCGCGCGAGTCTGGCTGGAGAGACGGGTCAGCGCGGCTGCGCCCAGCTGCCCTTCTGTCACCATCTTGGGTTCTTGTAGCAGGCATCTGGCCTTACCCTGGGCTGGGTGCAGAAACGTTAAACCGGTCATCAAAATACCCGTGAGATGTTCTGTTTCCTCCTCTGGGACGGCGGGCAGAGCCAGGACGGTGCGGTGGGAGCGGGTGCTGCGGGCCGGGTGCGTTACCTGCGGGCAGGGCCGCGCTCGCACCCCACGGGCGGCTGCAGGTTTCCCGGGGAGGGCACGGGAAGGTGCTCCCACGTCCTGCGTGGTGAACTCACGTAATCAAGAGCATGCCCATGACACTCGGATGACTGAATAGGAGGAGAAAATAAAAACCCATGTGGACAGGCTAGAGCCCCGAAACCTACCTGTGCTTGCAGCACACGCTGGTGGCTGTAAACCCCAAGAGAAAACATTCCCTCACGAGAACGTCTCCATTAACTCTTAAGATTCAGTTTTAACTTCATTTATATTTGTATCCCTTCAGTTATTTGAAAGAGTTTAAAGTAGCCCAGCTTCCAGAGGCACTTGCATTTAAATGGGGGAAAAAAAAATTTAAAAAATTAGAAGTTGGAACCATGCTCACTTTGTTGTTTGTGTACATCTTTCCTTCCATTTCTAGAATTGCATCTCATACCCAATTTCTTTTGCAGTTTTGTTCAGTGGAGGGACTGCTGTATGTCAGCCATGCTAAAGGGCAAGTGATGGAGGCAAGTACTAGTTTATATATTCACAATTATCTAATACTGTTTTTGCCAGTTTCTCCTTTTGAACTGTTTTGTTTCCCAGTGCTGCTGTGAAATAATTGCACCAATGAAGGACTCTATTAGCATGCTCTGGGATGTAATATTGTTATAACATATGCTCAGTATGACTGTATATGGAATTGTGAATTTTGTCCCTGATGTATTGTATTCTCCCATGAATAAGAAATGTATTGTTTTGAACTTCATGCTATAAAACACTCCATTTCCTCCCTCAAATAGAATTTAAAGATTGTTTTAAGTGGGGAAAAAAACAAGCACAAGACTTGAATCTTAATGCAAATAAATGTGCTAATTAATTCTGCTGATTCACAGTTCTTCACATTTATGAGTAGTTTTTTCCCCAAAAGTAGATACTAGGACAAATAAGTAGTTTTAAGGATCTTCATGTGAGAGATGCAATTTGAAAAGCTCTTTTCAGGCTCGCAGCAGACTCATCATATGGAAGTATGAATAGGCAGCTGACCACAAAGCTCCCACAGGAGCTGCTTAAACGCAAGAGTCAGCGTAATTTCAGAAAGCAGCCACAGAACACACAGGGGTGGTAGGGACTTGTCTGTGAGCCAGCTTTAGGCTGATTTGTTTCAGGCTGGCTTGTAAATTGGCATAAGGCTAATTTAAGCAGTTTACTGGTTTCCAGCAGGTAATGCATGGAATTCTAGTTAGACCAAAGTGGTGGTCTTTAATATCAGTAGTATTACCAATGGTAATCTGGACAGAAAGCATGCAGGAGATCAAAAAGATACTGGTTAGAGACTATACTGGGCATCTTCGATAGGAACTGCAGTTCCTCAGTGAGTCCTGACTGAAAAAAGAATACTGAGAAAATTAGCTAAAATGAAAAAGGCAATTATGGATCAGCTGTCAGGTTTGTATTTTATACACCAAATAATTTTGGGACTCTTGCTTTTTAGCCAGTAAATTTTGTTCACTGAACCGTTTGGTCTGTTGGATGAAAAGGAAAATCTGGTTTTGCCTTTTTTACCCCAAAACTTAAATTGAGTGGAGACCTGCAATTCAGCTTTCTGGAAAGCCTGTTACATAAGAAAAAATAAATATTAAGAAAGAGCGAGCTCAAAAGTCAAAGCATAATTCTAGTAGTAAAGGCGCTTGAAATCATTAAAGAAAGTGTTAAGTATGTAAAAATAAAAGGTTGATTGTGTTTGGTTTTTTTTTTGTTCTGCCATACAATTTCTGCATGAATATGGGTAAATATATTTTTCTGGGATGTAGATTATTACTTTGCATTTAATATGTTATTGATTAAACTGGCTGATATATTTAGACTCAATGCTTATAACATGTTCAAAGTGCTGAGATAAAATCCTGTATGATTCCAGTGTTTTGCTTTCTGTAAGTACTGAATTCCATCTTGCCTCCAGCTGATAGCAACGGCATTTGAAAATAAGAATGTGAGGCAGTTCTTCTGATATTTTTGGATGCCAATTTGGAAAGCATTTTGGAATATCTGTTTAACCCCTTGTGTCAGATTTCAGATGCACAAAATTGAGACTGCTCTAATTGTACCCTCAGTCCATTATGCTTCTGCAGCTGTTTTAAGATAAAAAAAATGCTCTCAAATCCCAAACATATGTCGCATTTCAAATAAAATGTGGTGGTTTTTTTTAAAGCACAGGCTGCTTTTTGCCAAGATTGAGGTAGACCTCTGTGATCTGGTATTTATAGAAGCCTAATCAAAGCTTTCTCTTGCAAGAAAACAATGATCGGCTTCCGAGCATGTGATCTCATGGTGCTGATGTGAAACTCTTCAGATACTGTGTCCTTCCTTCCTTCCTTCCTGCCTTCCTCACTCCTTTGCTGTACTTCTCCAATAGTGTGTTGCTATCTAAGTGCTCAGCAGCCATGTCCTATAACCAGCTCCTGCCTGAGCCCGGCTCATAGGTAAGGCTGAGCTCTCTGGGAGAAGAGCTGCGTGTTTCCTCTCTGCTAGAGACTGAGCTACATTTACATGGTGCTGCTCCCTTTCAGACTGGTTGCTTAATCTACTTTTTAAAAAGCGTTTTGTTTTCTCTGAGAGCCATGGACAAGACTGCCAATTGAAACCATTTCACTTGCCTGTTCTTGCTTGAGGACAGATTTTCACATCTAGTTTCCAGTGCCATCAGCGGATGTTGGCAGTAATAAGCCATTTCTTACTATTTGGAAATGCATAGCTGATTTGGAAATGTTGTTTTCTTGCATATATTAAATACTGTGAAGTTAGGCATTCTACAGGAAAATCAGGTAGGCAGAGCAGACATTACATTTGAAGCACAAAATATCAGATCTTTGTTGAGGAACAAAATTAATTCTGCCAAAGAGACTAACATGCTCTTCAGAAGTTTAACCTCATGTTCTGTTAGATATTATTATGGGCTTGTTCTTAATAAACAAAACCCACTGGTTTCACCTTGCTTCTCCCTCTTTTGAACAGCTTTTTTACCTTTCTTGCTTTCCTGTACCCTTTGTGCTGGGCTTCTTCCCCCAGGCGATGAATGACTTGCCTCATACAAGCTTTGGCTTCTGCGTACAGCCTAGATGCAACTAATGCCACATGGAGGGATGCTTGGAAAACTGATACGTTTTGTTTTGTTAATGGCATGTTTTGCTCATTGGATTTTTTAACCCACTACTTTCTGCATGGATGTATAATAATGACTCTTTTGTTTAACATTAGATAAGCATGAGATCACCGTGGCACAGCTGCATGTGTAGTCACTCTTGAAGCAATTGCACACCTAATTGGCTGACAATCTTGGCATTTTTAAAACAAACACAAGCCTTTTTAAAGACAGGGGACATATTTATGTATGAATAGTCAAATAAACCTGTTGGGTGTCATCAATGGAGCCCTCTGGCACTGAACAGTTGTGTGATGACCCTGATCCTGGAGGCAAAGCCCAAGATCAAGAGACCAAAAAACAACATGAATCAGAGCAAAAATTATCCAAAATAACCCATAACGCTTTGGAGAACATTAATGTGATCGGTCAAGGCTTGAAGCACCTTTTCCAGCATCAGCGCAGGAGGTCATCCGTTTCCCCACATGATGTGCAGCAAGCTCAGGCTGAGCTGGAGCCTGACCTGGACTTGGAAAGCCAAAGCGTCTGTGCTGAAATTGATGGTGTCTCCACCCACCCCACAGCTCTGAACCGGGTGCTCCAGCAGATCAGAGTGCCGCCTAAAATGAAGAGAGGGACGAGCCTGCACAGCAGGCGGGGCAAGGCAGACGCCCCGAAAGGAAGCCCGCAGATCAACAGGAGGTCTGCCCAGGATATGGGCTCAGGTCGGCCCAGATCGTCATCTACTACAGATGCTCCCACAAACTTGTCCGTGATGGAGATTGCTGCTTCTATCTATGTAGGTGGAGAGGAGGCCACAGCAGCAGCAGTAAGTTACTCAGATTTACCTTTGGTCTTTATCATCCCCTTGTATGTTTTCTTACGCCTTTTGAATCTTGTTTTTAAAAGCAAGTTTCTTTCAGCAAACACTAATGCTACTGTGTTTAAAAGCTGCTTCAGTGGTGAAGCAAAGCGCTTAAAAGATGCAAGCATTAGTCATTTTCTCACATGGCAGGTGGCTTGTTTTATATGTATTTGATCAGTGAAGGGAGATATACTTTTGAAACACGTTAGGTTGGATGGATGGCACACCACGGTCAAGCAAGGAGTGATGGGACGAGCAGCAGCCAGAGTAGTTCTCCTTAGCAGCTGTTACCTGGTTCCTGCAACAAAGCCTTGCGCTTACGTAGATGGCTTTTTTCTTCCCCTCTTGTTTTATCGTGTATTTGGTAAAAAGGAGGAATTCCAGTTTGAGTGAATGGTGCTGTCAAGAGGCTGTGGGAGCGCTGGCTGCAGCCTGTGACTGAACTGCACTGCAGTGCCAGGTTGACAGAATCAGATTAAGATCAGCCTGGCTGCTGTGCTGATGTGCAGTCGCTGTTGTCTCTTCAGTTTGTCTGGCCTGTGTGGAAAAAGCCTTCACAGAAGCGACAGCGCCTGCTCTCTGACGTGTCCTGGCAAAGCTCTGCGCATTGGCCTAGTAGTAGTAGTGTTTGTCTTACCATCTCTCTTCCTTCCCAGATGGATTTAGTTGAAGCAGTCCTCTTTTTTTGAAAAACTGGACTTACGATTTAACTTTAGCTATAACCTGTATTTTCCTAAAAGGCTTTGCAGGCTTGTTCATTGGAGGTCAGCCCCTTCGATAAAGATAGGAAGCACTGGGAAACTGATTTCTGGTTTGTATGCTCTTAGGTGTGACCAAACGAAACAGCCCTGCTGGCGCTCAATGCTGTGAGATAGCATGGTCCTGAAGCTCATGTAGATTTTTTCGTTATGCAAATTTGTTCTCATGACCTACAGTTTCTTTGACGTTGGCTAGATGATGATGGATTTAGGCCGAATAAGATCTCCTCAGTCATCTGGAGGTGGCCTCACCTTGCCTCTACAGCAAGATTGTTCCCTTGCACATTGTTTTCCTCCCTTGAAGCCTACTTTGAAGTACTCCGAGTGAAAACCTTTTCAGAGTATTCATGGTATAATATGCTTTCAGTGTATTTCCCTGACAATCGCCTGGAAATCAGTGTATCTTGCGTTTAAAGATGGTAATTACAAAGTATTAGCATAAATTACTCACTGCCTTAGAATGATATTATAAAGTTTTCTCTTGGGAGAAGTGTTAAAGCAGTCTGCCTGGAGCTGTATCTGAGGTTTTTGTTTCTTCCAACAGTTAAAAGAATAGAAATAGTAATAAAGTAATTAGGAAAGTGTACGCTCTCCAAGCATGGGTTAACTTTGCTGTGCTCATTGAGCCCTGGGTTTGTTTGCTTACTGGCTCTCTTTTCATTGTGAGTGAACTCAGGATCTTTGTTTCAGGAGAATTTTGGGCAAAGTTTATAGTTTTCTGAGTTTGTACCCAAATCCACCAATTTAAGATTATGAAGCAAGCTCTGGTTTGTTGGTTTAAAACTGTAGTTCCTTTACTTTGTGTACGAGCAGGGAGATTGAACAGGCCTAAGCATGTTAGTTCACTAATATGGGATATGGGAAAAGACCTGGGGGGAGGTGTCCTTTCTCCTGGCTATGTCAGCTGATCTGATGAAACGGGACCACCTTTGCCTACATCAGTGGTCTCCAGTGGGCTGCGTGCAAGACAATCCATTGGACTCGGGGAAGAAAATATTTTTGCACCATTAATAAGTAAAAGAATTTTTTGAAGTAATGTAAGGTTTATCTTTCTTTTCCTTTTTAATGCCTGTTTTTGTGTATGCTTTATAAGGCACATAATAGTTCAGTAGTACATGTATATAGCTTAGAGATAAATGTAAATGTATTGACAGTCCATGCTCAAAAATTTTTTAGTGATGGGGTGCATTGGTGTTTGATCAGGTTTTGGTGCAAGGCCAAGAAGAACTACAAAGAGAAGAAATAAATACTTTGAATGGATTTGTGACAGACAAAATGTCTAGCGAGCTGATCACTGCAAAAATTGCTGTGTGACTTAAAACCCATCCTGGCCACCCTGGGTCGGTAGGTTGGGCTGAAGAATATGTATGTGCACGTCGGGGCCCTGAGTGTGCTCGCTGACTTCTACAAGGTTAGCTGTCTGTGTTCGGGGCCAGGTGCTGGTCAGAGCTGCTGTGAGGAAGGTGAGGTGTAGGCTCAGCAAGGGCGTCCCTTCCTTGGGGAGACTTGTTGATCTGAGCCCAGACTTGTGGACTGCCTTCCCAGATTAACCTTGGACCTGCTCCATTGCTGTGGAGCTCTCTGGTGATCCAGACTTGGCTGAACCCGGCTGCCAGCCTGGGACCTGATGTGCTCGCCTGGCCTGGGTGGTGAGGGAGTCCACTCCCCCTCACTGGGAAAGTTCTTCATCTGTTGCCATTTGCAGGCAGCTAAAAGCGACCCTTACCTGCTGCTGATGGTGTTTAAAGTACCTCGGCTGACTTCACCGGTTTTGGATGAGGAAGGGAAGAATCTGAAAAGCACTCATGTGTTGCTGTATTAACATAGTACCTTGCAGTTACTCCGCTCTGAGCCGTGCTCTCTTGGCTGTGGCATGTGTCTGGAGGTATTAGGCTTAAAGTGCGTTGATTTCACTTGAACTTCACTTAAAGGCAAATTAATGGTAGACAGCTTGTAGGTTAAGTGCAGATGATTATACAGCTTTAAGTAACATATGACAGCTTTTACTGACTTTATGGTATAAAGATGTAACGCATTTAAAAATCAACTACACGTAAATTTTAAATCACCGATACAATTACTAGCAGAGCTTCTTGGTTTATGATTCAGTGAAATCAGGAAAGCGTGACGCAGCCGTTTGTTAAATCCACCTTACAAAAGACATCAGTGTGTTTGGCATTTGTGAAGCCAACTTAGCATTCAGTTTGCCACACTGTCATAATTTTTTACTAAATTCATGCATTGCTAAAATGCAAATATGATTTGTATTACAAGATTAGTTACAACACACTTCAAATGATGGAGTCAGTAAAGAGCCAGGTATATTAGAGTGAACTTGAATGCACCAGAGATGAAGTGTGAACTCAAACTTTAAACGCTGTCTTTAATTTATGAGACATTTTGTTTCTCACAGTGTTACTTTAACCCCACATTTTCCAATTTACTTAATCTCATTGAGACTAAATTGTTTAATGAAGCTTAAGAACTATAAATAACATGTGAAATATCTGGCAGGTAACATTCAGTGATCAAGGTTTAGGGTTCTCTGGAGCCTGGGCTCTGCTCGAGTCCATATGGATTCTGTATACAGCAAACCTTCACTTGGTATTTTTGGTTTTGTTTCATATTTACTTTCTCAAGACATTGCCTATTTGTATCCCTCAGCTCTTCATGGTCTTATCTTTTAAATAAGTTTGCCTTTTTCATTTTTTCATAAAACACTACCTATTTTACTTCCTTGATTCTGGTGATTGATGACAGTGAAGATACTTTGACTCACCTTGCCTCAGCAGCTAGTATTTCCTTTGAAATTCTTCAAGAATTTCATAAATCCAGCTATAATTAGAAAAATATCACTGAGCTACAACATGGATACATCTGTTGTGAACATATGGGCTATACAAGCTACAAGGACGAAGAAACAACGTCCATCATGGAAGAGTAGTGATTTAATGACAAAAACTGCCTAACGTAGGACTTGTAGTCAAGCAATATAATTCTCCTTTTTCTGATTCATGTCTCGTGTCATCATTTGATCTGCTGGTACCTGCCACTGTTGTGATGCAGCCTGTTTTTGCCTGCAGTAGATGCCTGCCATCTGTTACGGAGCTCTTCTGCCCCCATCAGATACTTGGTGTACGAGGCTGCTGCGAGTGCCTCGCTCTCACTGCCCAGGCGTACTGCTGCGGCTGGTACTGCTCTTGTAGCAGAAACTCCTGCTCTGCTTTCCTTCTTTCTTTATTTTCTCCCGGTGTTCAGTTTTCTGTCAGTCAGAAAAAGCAACGGACGTTTTGTTCTCTTTTCATGATTTGCTGTTGCTCTATGGTATGATGAAATTAGTGGCAGTGTGTTCTGTTTATTAAGACGGCATCCTGTAGTTACCACATAGTGCTGCATGGTGTCTGGGGCTGTTAAGTCTAAGATCTGCCTGCGACTGCAGAAGATTTTGTGACATGTAGATGTAGGAAGTCAGCAGACTTGGATTGCTGAGAAATTAGCATTCAGTTATATTTTTATTGTATGAGCCTTGTAAAAGCCTCTGCAGGCTGCTGTGAAATTGTCAGTGCTGCTTACTGGAACGGCAAGGAACTTCACCTGTTGCAAAGGCATTTGTGAAGCGTGGATGAGTGGGAGCCCATGTGCTTCTGCCTGGAGTTTACTACTGAAGCTTAAGACCCGTTAAACACATCCACACTATTTCCGTATCTTCCTTTTTTTGCAAAGTCAAGCCCTGAGCTTCATCCTTCTGTGCGAGGCGAGGCTGTTCAGTGATTTAAGTTTATGCTTGACTCTGCCTACGTAAATGCTGTTCTGAGCTTAATTAATGTTTGTGGTTTATTTGCTTGCTCAGTTGGTCCTGCTGGAAACTGTTACACTTGCTTTTTAACACTAGGTGCTGTATCTGAGATACAGTTCCGAAAAGGAAAAAAAACCCTTATGTTCATCAGCATGGCCATGTTGATAAGGTAAGCGGTGAAAGTAAAAAAATTTTGTAATTAAATTTCCTCCTATACTTAGAAACTCAGGCCACACTGACATGGGGCAGCAGTGAAAGACCAGGACCCCTCAGAGCAGGGAAGACCTGAAGCAGACCTTGGAGCCTGCGTTCTCCAGCCTGCTTGTCTGAGTCCCCTTGAGGGGAAGAAGTTCCTTGTGCCTGCCTGACGCGTCAGTGCTGTGTGCAATCTCTCCCCAGAGAGAGGCTGT